GTCTTTTCATACAGGGCTTATCAAACGCAGTGTCGCTTGCTTCAGCATCTCCACTCTCGCGTGGACTCTGCATCTCTTCCGCGAACATGCTCTCTGATCAAAAACCCAGGGCGAGCGGGGGAAAGACGGAGCCTCAATCGATTGGAAGTGATTAGAGAGCATGTTCGTGGAAGAAACGCAGAGTTTAGCGCGGGAGTGGAGATGCTGATGCAAGCGACACCTGCGCTTGATAAGCCCTGTACATAAATTTTCAGCGAAATAAATCAGTTTTTCTTGAACTCCTGATAGAATATGGGGTACCATTTGACACATCAAAGCAAGCTTTACAAGATGGCGTTGTAAAGTTCGCACCAAGCTTAATCCGCAACAAGTTCCAAGCCAAAATAAAAAGACCGAAATTTTGAAAAGACGAAAGTCGTCATATCTCAGTCCAAAACAATTCTGCAAATTTCCCACTTTCTCATACATATGTTCCCCTCATCGGATATCTATACATGCATTTGCTGCATTTTTCTGATGGCTAGAAACCAAGAAAAAGTAATGCGCTCAATTTTCAAACTCTGTCTGTATCAGTTCTGTGTCCCCGCTACTAGGTGATTATACAGCTTAGTCACTCAGTACTACTGCCAAATTTGCAGCCTACTAGGTGCCCTAGCTCTTGAGTATGTCGAATTAAAGGTTCAAAGGAAAAGACTTATGGCACAACTAATATACAATCTCTACATATACAGCAGAAATTTTGTAGGTCTATGTGTTGCCATAACCATAATTTGTTGTTCTACATGTCCTGTATGTAAGCTATAGAAGGCGGTTATACGTGCACCGATTGAAGAAACTTTGCACACAATTTCTCGACACCGGCTGGTTATTATAGACTACTTTTGGCGGTGGTTCACTAGTCATATCGATTCATTGATCTGTTAACTTACACCTGAGAAAAGGAAGCTTATTGTGTGACAGAGCGTTTCCCCCACAGTCTTGTAGGACTAAGATTATCATTCTAACTCCGAGGCAAGATACTATGCAAGCCAAAAGCGTATGCAAGAAGAATGGTACTTGCCGCTTACTAGCGGAGGACCAAAACTCAAAATCGGCTTTTCAAGTGAAATATTTTTGTTTTTATCTTTACCTTACACTCAGGGTATACCATTTAAACAATGAAATACTGCTAGTATAAGGCCAGTCGTTCTAAACATCTAGAGAACAAAAAAATGCTCGTATTTTGACAACGTACGAGCAAAAGAAATTACTCATAAGTGATGTATCCATCACAAGCGGAAAAAGGTACAACCAAATGCGATTAACTCATATGCCTTATATGTGAGTTGGGATGCCAGGTGAATAGCAGTAGGGACTTCTATCGCTCTAGGAAAATCGAAATTTATAATGATCTAAAGAGCATCAAATGCTGATACCAAAACTCTCTTTGAGATTTGCCAAACGCCCCTAGATGCTGAACTAGGAGCGTTTTGAAGCGAAAAATGATATTAATTTAGGAAAATTAATATGCTTCTTCTAGCCCTCATATAAAGAAGTAGTAAGAACGGTGTTTCAGACATAAGTTTTCATCATGTAAGGAATGCTCTGATACCCAAAGCTGGGCCGCGCGCAATCCAGGACGGGCGCGTTCAACTGATTGAGCCAAAAAACGCTTTCGTCTAAAGGCGCTTGGCAAAAAAAAGACAATGAATCGGGGTTTGGCGCTTTTCAGATTGGTGATGTATTCTATTTGAAAGTCGATTTTGACTTTGAGTCCCCCCTCGCCAGAAGCGTCGATATGTGTTGGCGAGAAGACGGATTGGGAAAGAGGCAGAGAAATTTTGTCTAAAAGTGAAACGGGTGGTGAGTTTGATCTATTGAGCTGGCAGGGACCCAGTGAAGTTGGGTATCCCAGCTAGTGTCGGTCGGTATAAAACAGGAATAAACCTTGTATACACGTTTTCCAGTCACGGAATCTTATATATAAAGCTGAATGTCTGTTTGTATGTATGTCTGTATGTCTGTACGTATGTTCCGAATAGAAAATTCCATTTCTGAACCGATCCGGACCAAACTTGGCACACATACACTACGGGCCCCGGCGGGTGTCATAGGCTACTTTTCGTCATCGATCGATATCGATTTTATCGATTTTTATCGATTTTTTTGCTGAGTTCACCTACGGGGCTGGGAGTTGGCATAGGGGGGTAATCGAGCATGGGGATTCCGAATACAATATTGGTTTTCGGGATTATCGATTACTTTTATCGATTTTATCGATTTTTTTGCAAAGTTTGAGCTACGGGGCTGGGAGTTCGCACAGGGGGGTAATCGAGCATGGGGATTCCGAATACAATATTGGTTTTCGGGATTATCGATTACTTTTATCGATTTTATCGATTTTTTGCAAAATTTGAGCTAGGGGGCTGGGAGTTGGCACAGGGGGGTAATCGAGCATGCTGATCATCCCCAAGGGGGTGATCAGCATGCTCGATTACACCCCTGTGCCAAATTCCAGCCCCCTAGCTCAAATTTTCAAAAAATCGATAAAATCGATAAAAGTAATGGACGATCCTGAAAACTAATATTGTGTTCGTAATCAGCATACTCGATTACCCCTCTGTGCAAAATCCCAGCCTCGCATGTCAAAATTTTCAAAAAATCGATAAAATCAATAAATGTAATCGATAATTCTGAAAACTAATATTGTATTCGGAATCCCCATGCTCACTTCCCCCCTGTGCCAACTCCTAGCCCTGTAGGTGAACTCTGCAAAAAAATCGATAAAAATCGGTAAAATCGACATCGATCGATAACGAAAAGTGGACTGTGACACCCGCCGGGGCCCGAAGTGTATGTGTGCCAAGTTTGGTCCGGATACGGCGGAGCCGGGTAAGCCAGCTAGTCTATCATGACTTATAATAAGCGGCTTAATCTGAAGTTGTGTGGAGTTTGTCCGTTACGAAATTACAGTGAGGAACGATTTACAATACCAAACAGCATGTGAGGTTAAGATAGTGGTATGGTTCATCTTTAACTACGGCTCTCACGTTGCAGTCAACCGAACATGACTTGAGAGACAAGCTCTCAGAAAGTGAGTTTACCACGGTTCATAACGGTCAGTGCGAACCTCTGCGAAGCAGAGGTGAAGCACTGGTAAATTCATATTCTAACAAGAGCTGAAATTCTCAATAGAAACACTTGAAAAAATGATTCATTTCATTTGGCATATCCCTATTACTCAGAACATATGCAAATCACTAGCCGTCTCTCTATTACATGTATGCTCAAGCGTTACCACTAGAAATTTAGAAACTTTGATGAGTTATAATACAGACGCATGTGAACTTACTGATCCTATATTACCAAACAAAAACACATGATGCTTTAGTTTTCTACCGGCCTCCCGCCTCAGTGATTAGGTAATACTGAAAGAAAATCACTTCATTACTTTTGTTCAATTTAGTAGGCATGATCATTCGAAAGAATTATAAAATGGAATTACGCTAGGTTATTTAAATCAAAATTTTAAAATTAAGGCAAATAATTTTTAAAAATTTGATTTTTTTATTTAAAATAAAACCCCCAGTAAAGAGGTGGTGATTCATATATTGAGGAGTTTTATTTCGTGAATTGCCTGACCTCGCGTCACCATCGAGAGTTTGCGGAAACTCTTTTTCAGATGAGCGCGACAGACACAGCGAGAGAAAATGGATCACGCAGCTGAACTCAAATCTTGCTGTTTGGTCTACTCCAAGTTTACGATAAAGCTATGATTACTGTGATAAATCAATAAGGTCAAGTATCACATGATCAAGCGGGCACGGCACAAAAATAAGAGAAGGAAGTAAAAAAGCGTTTTTGCGAAGATTTAAATCTATTACCAAGCAGTGACTCAAATGCAGAATGTGCTTATGCGGAATCACTATGGTGAAATAATTTACTTAGTCTTTCTTGATCGCTTAAAAAGATAAATAACCTCCAGCATGTATTCACACCGAGCATACAACACATATGAATCATCTCAACCGTAACTAAGAGCAGCAGAAACCATAAAACATCACTCATAGTGCAAATAATGATTCGTCTTAAATGAGGCTGTCATTTGCAAGATTGATATAAGAACTAGTTCTTGCTCATTTTATGCAAGTTACCAAGTATTTCGGACTATCACTCAAATGCAGCGAAAATGCAAGAAAAACACATCGTTTCCATGGCAAACGAACGCTGCCCAAAATACGGCAATATCCCAAGATAACGGAAACCGGAAATAAAAAAGTGAATGTTGAAATTTCACAACAATTCTTCTAAAAGATTCGCAGAGATACTGCTTTTCATATCTAACGTACTATGGTCCAACAATCCCTAATTTCAGTGATAACAATGTAGATAAATACTCCCTAACGATCATATATCGTCTTAACAAGACAAAAAACCGAACGAATGTGAGAAGACCTAGTAAGCAATGAACGAGCAAGAAACTAGAAGAAATTTTTGGGAGGAGAACAGAGAGCCACACAAGGACAACAGCAAAATGCGATCATCCTTCCTTCATCATTTGTGGAAAAGAAAACGAAGAACAAAACATAAAACTACCAAAAGAAGAACGAACAGCTCCTAAGCGCGAGTTTCTGCGCTCTAGTTCATAAAAATCAAAGCGGTCGCGACAAGCCAGTTTACGATGTCTTCCTAACCATAACATTAGGTACAGTATCATAATCCTCCCAAGGTCCTGAGCGGGCCGCTTTGCTATAGGAAGTCCTCCGGGCGGCTCGAATTTTTGGACGAAGGGATGCAAAAACCTTTTCTCGATGCTCTTAGTGCTTCTGTGGTTTTCTTTTGCGTCGAACTTTTACTTGTACTTAGTTTTCTTGGACGTTTGGATGTGACTTTTCAGCTCCTTTCGTTGTGAATTGGCAACTTTTGGTCTTGTGCTGAGTTTACTATAATTACAGGTTAAATCATGTACTGCCAGCGCCTCGTTTTCTTAGATAAGCCATAATATTTGAGTAAGGAATTACCTAGATGGAGATGTAGTGGGGGTAGTAGTTGCTCGGAAGAGAGATGGATGGATTGTCATGAAATATGAACTGGTAAGCGCACTTGATGTAGAGGTAGTCAGCGACGGTTGCACGTGTTCTTCGAAATGTTCCATAGCCATGCTGAATATAGCCGTTTAAAACCACGTGATTGAAAATTGCACTCTATTTCTACATTTTATTCCAGCTAAGCTTGTCAAAACACAAGAATAAGTACTATCAGAAAAACCATTGGTATTTGACCAATCTAAGATTATATAATTATAATAATATATATAATTAATATTATAAAATAATATTAATTATTATTATATTATAATATTATTAAATAATATTATAATATAATATTATTTAATAATATTATATTATAATATTATTAAATAATATTATATTATAATATAATAATAATATAATATAATAAAGAAGTTAGTGGAACTTTGAGAAAGAAATTTTTTGCGATGCGAAAAGAGAAGCCGAGTTGTGCTTCCTCCTCCCCCCCCCCCCCTCCCCGGTCGAAGTTCTTGGAGGTGAGTGTCCGGCACTACCACCTTCACTTTGGCCGGCCAGTGGTAGCTGGAATCAACTTCACTTTTGGGGGGGGGGGAGGCGGCTCCACCTATCGCACCTCTGGTGGCTACTAGAATCTGTTAAAAACTGCGCAAGCTTTCGTACTCTAATCCTGCTATAATGGGATTGAGCACGCGCTGCTATGCTGGAAGTCAACGTATGCAACGTCACCAAAACGTAATGTAAAAGTACATATGAGGCTTATTTCGATAATGAAAGCTTAATAAAAACAGTTACGCCATGTGCTCCTGTTTTGAAAGTTAGGTGTTTTCCAATGTTTCCTACTACAATTTTCATGCCGAATTTAAGCTGCATTCGGGCAAATTTTTACACGAAGAAATTGCATGTGGGAACTTATTTTAACCCATTGACGACGACGCCTAATTTTGCGCGGCGGCTCTGTGGGACGACGCGATTTTGCACAACACTTTCAGTGCAGTGTGGGAAGGTTTCGTACTTATTTACAAAATGCAACATTGTTTTGTAAACAACTATTAACATTTTCTTGAACGACAGACCCTATAGGTCCTAAGATTACAAAAAACTGGAAAAAATATTCATATGTGGAAAAAATACTAGACCTGCAAATAATACGACTTTGCGAGAGGTGTGGGCCACCTCTCGCAAAGTCGGGGGTCCACATCGTCCCTGGCAGCAAAAAGCGCGTAGGCCACCGGTGGTCCACATCGTCGTCAATGGGTTAAGAGCTTGACTATTAGGATGGCTATAAAATGATTCCATTTTTCATACAAAACCTCCATAATAGCTTTTCTTATTAGTTTTATCCATGATTTAATTTGAGAAAATTACGCAAAACTCCTGCCATCTATTTGAAGCCCTCAGAATGTTGCACTATCAGTAAAGGACAGTTATGCCCCATTATGGCTAAATTTCCAGGAGCTAAATTCTCTGACTTCCTAAGCTTTATTTTCATGCTGCGATGGATGTAGAGATAAGCGATTTTGTTTTTGGACACACATAAGTTTTCTCTGTTAAATAACATGACAAAGTGTGGTCTGTTGATATAAAATTTTTCGATAAAAAACGAAAATTTTTTCATATGTGTTTACACACAGTGAGGAAATTGAGATAGTTATAAGGGTATTCGGCAAACGACCTGCATTGGGTTGCAAACATTGCGTGGGACCCACAGTCTATGTGAATGTGAAACCGTCGTCGGAGAGCTGGAAGAAGTGGTGGCAAATACAATTTGCTTCGATTGTGATCTCCGCCTGCAATGCCCATTTCGCCTGCTGCTGTTGCCCGCACTACCTGCAATCTGATCGAAACTCGATCAAATTCAAGTTTGTCTATTCGATCGATGCGATTCCTGCTTGTAATATGACTAAACTTCCAGTGCTCATATACATGCAAGAGTGTATGCGCGAGAAGCGAGCGTAACGAATGGATGTTTCAAATACACCACCGATTGTAAATGGCGAAACTAAGTAGAAATTAATCGGAAAGTTCGACTCTCTATAAATCTCGGCATGATGAATACTGTTGATATTCGACTGTTTAGCCACAACCGAGATTGGTAACTTATTTATTTAGGCTAACGTTTCGGCAATAATTCGCCTTCTTCAGAGCCTGAAATGGGCGAACACAATTTACAGACTATCCGATCAAACATCTCCTCAACCCTACAGGCAAAATTCTAAGCTTTCTTTTGACCATGAGCAGGCTGCCATACGCGATACTCACCTTTCGTTCGCCGGTAAAGTTCTGGTATAGTATGAGCGAGTGCTTACTGACCGCTTGAGCAAAGAATGAAACATGTCTTCACATGATCAAAAGATCTGATTAAGATACGGTGCGAGTTCTCGTGTGATAGAGAGACACTCGTCTTTGCGGTTCATTTTAGGGTTTCTAAAATGAATCCAAAAGGCTTCTAGGGTTTTGCGAGTGGATGTTTGAGCTTCGCGCGCTAAAATCTCTACTTTCACTCCAAAATCAACTCCTTGATGATCTTGCACTCTGTGGGCGCCCAATGGAGTGGATGTGCGTAATCTCTCTTTACCATTAAGATGTTCCTTAATACGTATGCTCAGAGGGCGTGCCGTTTCTCCGATGTATTCGTTTCCGCAATCCCTGCATGATATGAGGTATACAACACCCGTACTCATGCAGTCTCCCTCCCTTGCTGTTGGACATATCGGGCAGTTTGGAGTAGGGCAACTGCGGTCATACATACGATTCCGAACAAGGATACGTTTCAAATTGTTCGGAGGTATGTCTACTACCGAAACTGAGTTGTCTAATCCTGCTCTCCTCAGACACCGCCGAATGGCAGTGCTCACTTCATCGGAGATGAAGGGTATGCAGAAGGGTATCTTTTCTGCTGCGGACGTTCTTGCTCTCTCCACAAATCTTCCCTGCTGGCTCCTATACCGCGTCATGTTGTCATAACCGTTCAGTGAAGCTATATTACGCGCAACGGCTAGTGACTCCATCTTTTCCTCGTGACCGCTACAAACCTTCGTAGCTGTGCGAAACATGTTTCTGATCACAGCTTTTTTAGTTTGTAAAGGATGTGCTGAGCGCGAGTGGATAAGGATGTTTTTGTTACTAGGTTTTCGAAACCACTTCGTTTTCTGGGTGCCACTAGCAATGCTGACTTGAACGTTCAAAAAAGGCAGCCATGCGTTGTTGGGTTTTTCCCGAGTTAGTCTTATGTGTTCTGATTGCTTGTTCATCAACTCGAAGCACTCATCAACTTCCGCCTGTGTGTTGCAAATGATAAAGCAGTCATCGATGTACCTGCAATAAAGCAGGGGATGCAACTGCAACAGGGGTGTCTCGATTTTGGCCATAAAAATTACCGCTAAGGTTGGAGCCAATCGCTGACCCATGGCCAATCCTCGAATTTGAGCGAAATATTTTCCTGACCACCTAAATATATTGCATTCTAGACACGCTTTTAACAGGGCCATTATTTGCGCGATAGATAATCCAAAAAGTCTTATGGCTTGTTCATGTTCTATCAGATTTTCACAAACGGCCTGCAATGCAGAGTCATTGGATACATTCGTGTACAATGCGCTAACGTCGAACGACTCCATAGCATGATTAGCACAAACACGTGTCTCACGTAGACGGTCTAGAAACATCTGCGTATTGCTTAGATGGGAAGGGATGAATTGAAGTAGCTGTACTCACTCAAATCTTCGAAATGGTTTGAATTAAAAATTATTAAAAATTATTTAAAATTTTTAATATTATTATAATTTTATTTTAATATTTATTAAAATAAAATTAATTTATAAATTAAATTAATTTATAAATTAATTTAATTAATTAATTTATAAATTAATTAATTAAATTAATATAATATATTAATTTAATTAATTTAATAATTAAATTAAATTTTTATATTAATTTAAATAATAATATATTAATAATTATTATTAATATAATAATAATTATATAAATTATTATTTATTAATAATTATTAATAATTATTAATAAATAATTATTAATAATTATTTATTAATAATTATTCACCTTGGCAATATAGTAATCGACTAAAACTCCAACATTGGTACGGAAATTGTCCAAATGATTAGAGATATGATCGATGCACACATCATCAAGACCGTCCTTCCCGAGTGCAACGGCTTTATAATATTAAATATTAATATTATAAAGTTAAATATAATAAAATTAATTAATTATAAATTTATGTATTTAATTAATTAATTAATTTAATTAAATTAATTTTATTATAATTAATTTAATTTAATTAATTAATTAATTAAATAATTTTATATTAATTAATTTTAATTAATTAATTTGTATTTAATTAATTAATTTTAATTTAAATTCTAATCTATGTGCTGATAGATAACAATAGGCGATAATACAACTTTGGATCCAAGAGTCCTTTTTCGATGTCGGGCGAACACTGAAAAGGGACTCTTGGACGAAGAGATGAACAGGTTATGTAATAGTCCCAAAAATTCGGGATCACCTAACATGTTGCAGCATCAAACCTTAAAAGAGAAACAAATGATGGGCATATGCGCTAATCATCGCTGATCCCTATCATTTCCTTTTGTGAGGCTAAGAATTAGGTAAGGTGCGTCCGTCTAACATTCTTTCGTGTGGCATGTTAGCAAAAACACAATCGATCTCATTTTGTGCTATGGTTTGCGCTAAAATACCGGGTTGCGTTCTACCTTCCCTCTGCTAGCCTTTAGCAGTTACCTGCTCCCTGCCTGTCTGCTAGCAGATTCAAAAAGAAGTTTTTCAAATGTCTGAATTGGGGAGACCCGGTAAGCGGTTTTCGCAAGAACCATACGAAATTTTTAGTTTTTCCAGGCTGACAACAAAACGTTTCAAGAAGACGGCTTACAGTGCTTCCTGTGGTGACCGTGCTTAGCACATCTGTTAGCAGATCACCGACTTCTTTCTCCGATCCCGGCGAAATCATCTGAACATGTTCCGCTAAGGCTTATTCGCTGACAAAATATACTTACCTCCGTACAAACCAGCACAAGTCGTCTTATGCAGGACTTGAGTGACAGAATCTCGGTATTTTGCTTCCTGATCTGTTTCTCCTGTTGAGCCAACTTATCCATGACATTTTTGCGCCACTCGCAAGTATCCAAATCTCTGCAACTGTAGTATGAGCCAGATAGAGCATAGTTAAGTAGATTCAGTTGTTGTTCTAAAGTCGATATAAGCCCGCTGAAAAAACATATGAAAAAATTTAGTGCATATTATCAACAGAACATCCGGGCGAGTCCGCGAAACGCACATTTTGATTTTCGCCCCCCCCCCCTTTTTTTTACGCGCAGGATTAATAATTTAATTAATAAATTAATAATTATATAATAATAATAATAATATTATATAATAAATTATATAATATTATATAATATTATTATTATATAATAATATTAGGTTGGCACGAAAGTTCTTGCGTAATTCAAACAAAATTCAATAACTTTTCAAAGACTGAACCTAAATTCACAATCTTGTATGCTAAAAATATTAGAAGCCTTACGCTTCATGATGGATGTTTAAGCATAAGATCACGTGAGCTGGACATCAAGAACGAAGCTCTCGAATATGGGGCTTCAAATTTTGCAATTTTGAGTTTGGTGCCAGAAAATCGCAGAGTGCCGCTAGCTAGCCGAAAAAAATCTGTAGAATTTACTTACACAGCAAAAGTCCATACGTTGTTTTAGCAGGCTTTGATCTCGCATGGAAACGCGAAAACAAAAAATTTGTGAAAATTCTCATTTCACAGGACAAATCCCCTTATCACTCTAACTTTTCCACAGAAACACAGTTAGCAACCAGAAATTAGACATAGTGCCTATTTAGAACTTCGCGACGTTTTCTGGAGTGTAAAAAAGTGTTTTCGCCGGAAAACTGCGGACTTGAGGGGATTTTTCCGCAAAATGACTTATTTCACGAATTTTTTTGTTTTGCTTCACCATGCAAGATCAAAGCCTTCCAATGTAACATATGGACTTTTGTTGTGTAAGTAAATTCTACAGATTTTTTTTCGTCTAGCTAGCGGCACTCTGCGATTTTCTGGCACCAAACTCAAAATCGCAAAATTTGAAGCCCCATATTCGAGAGCTTCGTTCTTGATGTCCAGCTTACGGAATCTTATGCTTAAACATCCATCATGAAGCCTAAGACTTCTAATATTTTTAGCATACAAGATTGTAAATTTAGGTTGAGTTTCTGAAAAGTTATTGAATTTTGTTTGAATTACGCAAGAACTTTCGTGCCAACCTAATATTATATAATATTATTATATAATAATAATATTATAATTATTATATAATAATTATAATATTATTATTATATAATAATTATATAATTATTATATATAATTATATAATAATTATATATAATTAATTATTAAATTATTAATTATATATAATAATATTAAATATAATTTATATAATTAATTATTAAATAATTAAATTTATTAATTATTTATATTATTTATATATATATTAATAATATTAATAATATTATTTAATTTTATTAATAATTATTTATATAATTCCATATATTATATTTATTATATAATATATTATTATATAATTATACTATTATTTATAATTAATCAAAATAAATAAATAAATAAATAATATTTATTTATTTTATTTTTAATATTTCCTGTAAAAAAAATCTTATTGACTAATCAAGCTAGGATTGGTTGAGAAGCACGCCCATACGTAGGGTGGACAGTTTCTTTGTTACTCTCATGTGATACTTCAGTCGGTCACTTTAGGTTACGAATGAACGATGTCCGAAGTGTTCGCACGAGCGAGCTTACTTCATGCAAATCCAAACAAGGTCTGCTGATGAACCGATGACTATATTTTATCGATGCGCAAACGCTGAATGTGCTCATCGTTGGAAAGATTAATGACATTCAAAATGCTAATAAAATTTTTATCAATGCTTGCTCGTTATATATGCTATGGTTAATCACATTCACTACTTGAAACATTTACTACATTGCCCATTATAAAACCTAGCACCACCGGTATTCATCCATGTAGAGGTCTCTATACATCATAAGGAACCACGAAATCTACTTCTTCAGTGCCTTTTTGTACTCCTCCTCATATAACTTCTTCCTACAGAAGTGATTACTGTCGAACACATAGGAATTCACTGATTGCAGCCCAAAGTCACCAGTTATGAAAGTACCAATTTCAGCTAGTCATCCATGCTGCCCCATATCGACGAAACATTATGAAAGCCGTTGCACTCGGGAAGGACGGTCTTGATGATGTGTGCATCGATCATATCTCTAATCATTTGGACAATTTCCGTACCAATGTTGGAGTTTTAGTCGATTACTATATTGCCAAGGTGAATAATTATTAATAAATAGTTATTAATAATTATTTATTAATAATTATTAATAATTATTAATAAATAATAATTTATATAATTATTATTATATTAATAATAATTATTAATATATTATTATTTAAATTAATATAAAAATTTAATTTAATTATTAAATTAATTAAATTAATATATTATATTAATTTAATTAATTAATTTATAAATTAATTAATTAAATTAATTAATAAATTAATTTAATTTATAAATTAATTTATAAATTAAATTAATTTATAAATTAATTTAATTAATTAATTTATAAATTAATTAATTAAATTAATATAATATATTAATTTAATTAATTTAATAATTAAATTAAATTTTTATATTAATTTATTAGGTTGGTCCGAAAGTTCTTGCGCATCATTTTCAAAAAATCATAACTTCCTTGCCACTCGATGGATTTCGTTAAAATTATATCTATTCGAAAGAAGAATCCATGCACTTTACACATGTACCCTCGCCATGAGTTACTTTGAGAAGCTTCGAGAGTTACAAGCAATTGAAGGAAATCAGTCAAAATTGGCATTTTTCGAGCTGGGTCACGAAAAATTTTGGAAGTATTTTTATGTGGTAGAGAAAATTATGCTCATTACAAGGGTACTTTTCCAATGAGTTGAAACGAAAAAGATCGAGAGTTAGAAGCAAATAAAGAGAGTTCCTTCGGTTTTGTAATTTTTGAGCATGGTCAAAAAAGCCCAGAAACGTCACAGAAAATATGGAAAAGTCATAAACGTGGGTTTTATAACCTTCTCATTCTAGCTGAGCAAGTTTCGAGCTAATCGAAAGCAATTTTGTTTTTCGTGATTTTTTCGGATTTTCGGGCCTGCATTTTTCACGAAAATCAAAATTGCTCTTGATTAGCAAAATTTCCGCTCAGCTAAAAAGAGAAGTTCACAAAACCCACGTTCATGGCTTTTCCGTATTTTCTGTGACGTTTCTGGGCTTTTTTGAGCATGCTCAAAAACTGCAAAACTGAAGGAATTCTCTTCATTTGCTCCTAACTCTCGATATTTTTCGTTTCAACTCATGGGAAAAGCACCATTGTAAAGAGCGTAATTTTCTCTGTCATATAAAAAGACTTCCCGAATTTTTCGTGACCCAGCTCGAAAAATGCCAATTTTGACTGATTTCCTTCAATTGCTTGTAACTCTCGTATCTTCTCAAAGTAACTCATGGCGAAGGTACACGTGTGAAGTGCATGGATTCCTCTTTCGAATAAATATAATATTGACGAAATCCATCGAGTGGCAAGGAAGTTATGATTTTTTGAAAATGATGCGCAAGAACTTTCGGACCAACCTAATAAATAATGCTCGATTACCCCCCTATGCCAACTCCCAGCCCCGTAGGTGAACTCAGCAAAAAAATCGATAAAAATCGATAAAATCGATATCGATCGATGACGAAAAGTAGCCTATGACACCCGCCGGGGCCCGTAGTGTATGTGTGCCAAGTTTGGTCCGGATCGGTTCAGAAATGGAATTTTCTATTCGGAACATACGTACAGACATACAGACATACATACAAACAGACATTCAGCTTTATATATAAGATTCCGTGACTGGAAAACGTGTATACAAGGTTTATTCCTGTTTTATACCGACCGACACTAGCTGGGATACCCAACTTCACTGGGTCCCTGCCAGCTCAATAGATCAAACTCACCACCCGTTTCACTTTTAGACAAAATTTCTCTGCCTCTTTCCCAATCCGTCTTCTCGCCAACACATATCGACGCTTCTGGCGAGGGGGGACTCAAAGTCAAAATCGACTTTCAAATAGAATACATCACCAATCTGAAAAGCGCCAAACCCCGATTCATTGTCTTTTTTTTGCCAAGCGCCTTTAGACGAAAGCGTTTTTTGGCTCAATCAGTTGAACGCGCCCGTCCTGGATTGCGCGCGGCCCAGCTTTGGGTATCAGAGCATTCCTTACATGATGAAAACTTATGTCTGAAACACCGTTCTTACTACTTCTTTATATGAGGGCTAGAAGAAGCATATTAATTTTCCTAAATTAATATCATTTTTCGCTTCAAAACGCTCCTAGTTCAGCATCTAGGGGCGTTTGGCAAATCTCAAAGAGAGTTTTGGTATCAGCATTTGATGCTCTTTAGATCATTATAAATTTCGATTTTCCTAGAGCGATAGAAGTCCCTACTGCTATTCACCTGGCATCCCAACTCACATATAAGGCATATGAGTTAATCGCATTTGGTTGTACCTTTTTCCGCTTGTGATGGATACATCACTTATGAGTAATTTCTTTTGCTCGTACGTTGTCAAAATACGAGCATTTTTTTTGTTCTCTGGATGTTTAGAACGACTGGCCTTATACTAGCAGTATTTCATTGTTTAAATGGTATACCCTGAGTGTAAGGTAAAGATAAAAACAAAAATATTTCACTTGAAAAGCCGATTTTGAGTTTTGGTCCTCCGCTAGTAAGCGGCAAGTACCATTCTTCTTGCATACGCTTTTGGCTTGCATAGTATCTTGCCTCGGAGTTAGAATGATAATCTTAGTCCTACAAGACTGTGGGGGAAACGCTCTGTCACACAATAAGCTTCCTTTTCTCATGTGTAAGTTAACAGATCAATGAATCGATATGACTAGTGAACCACCGCCAAAAGTAGTCTATAATAACCAGCCGGTGTCGAGAAATTGTGTGCAAAGTTTCTTCAATCGGTGCACGTATAACCGCCTTCTATAGCTTACATACAGGACATGTAGAACAACAAATTATGGTTATGGCAACACATAGACCTACAAAATTTCTGCTGT